TTATTATTGTTTATATATTTGCTTTTGTTACTGTATTTATTTCTGCAACTTGTGATTGTTTGGTGTTAATTAGCCACGCTTTTCTGACAAACGCACACAAATTTCAATCGGAGAGGCCAAGAAAAAGAAAAGCCAAGAAACTGCAAGAGAAAAAGTGAAATTTCGTTTATCGGAGAGGACGACGTTGGTTAAAGTTGTTCGGGGGAACTCGTTTGACGCCTCCTGCTCTGCTCAGCTCTGCTCTGATCTGCAATGCTTCTCCTCTGCTCTGGGGCCTGGGGGCCAGTCATCATCCTTTTGCTTTCGTTGGTTTTGTGTGCTTAGTGCCGCCACAGACTTGAAGGCGCGGGCGCTGGCTATTTAGCTGGACGGGCGGTGCCTGAAGCGGGCACAGGAGAGCTGTTAGCCAATCTCTCAATGCGGTCAACAACCGGCCCAGGCCTGAGCCGCAGCTTTCCACCAATGTCAATTATTAAGGCAAACCAAACCGTTTACATACGACATTTTCCAGCAAAGACGCAGACACACAAAAACGAACTAGAAAACAAATCGCCACAGACTCCGCTGCATGGATTTTCATGTTTTCTTTTGCTTGAGCAAACGGGTTATGCCTCTCTCCTATCTCTCTCTCAGCAAGTGAGTGTCTTCAGTGTTGTGTCGCCCATCATAATTGGTCATTTGTCCAAGTGTTCGCCTCGTACAAGCTGCCTCCACTCGGTTTGGCTAATCCACTCCACACATTTGGTCATTAGCCGACAGCAGCAAACCGCGAACAGCGAAAAGAGAGTCGCAAAGTTCATCGATGTTCATCGTTTCGACCAATGTTCGAGACTCTAATTAGAAGTGCTTTCAAATCAAATCCAATCAAATTAGCTTACAAGTTCAAATCAATTTGATTCATAATTCGATTTGATATTCATTCAAAGTAGTTCTGTAGTTCTGTGGGCACCACACATTCACTTGTCGTCACCGTAGGCAGTTTTCATTTTAATTTTCGCAGAGGGAGATGAGTGTTGAGAGGCAACGCGACCTGTCACAACTCGAGTGAGGCTTCAGGTGCAGAGTCCGAGCCAGAAGCAGATGTCTCTGCCTATGTTTGCACCGTTTTCTGACGCCCGATTGTTGGGCAAATGTTTGGTCTCTGGCTCTGACTCTGACTCTGGCTTACTTTCACAGACTCACTTCGTTGAATCGCTGAATGATTGAATTTGTTTATGCATTTTGCATGTGAATGGAAAGACAAACAGCCAGGCAGAGGGGGAGAGGGGGAGAGAGTCGTGCCAGATGAGCTTTTTCCCTGAAATTCTTGATCTTAAAGAGAGAGAATGAATCTGTGCTCTTTACTTAGCTGTCTTTCTTGCACACATTTACTTTTGCTTTCTATTTTTTCTGTTTTGTTTACTCTTTTGAAACACACTCACACACGAAAGTGAAAACTAACAGCGTCTCCATTCTATGAATTTGAATTTGAATTGGCAACTGACGAGCGAGCTGGATGGGGGAACGAGCAGAGAGGGAAAGACGAAAACGAACGCCATCGATCGATAGTGGACCGTTAGATCGCCTACTAGCGGCCTGTTCTGCTTTTGATGGGCAGGCAAAATACAACAATGTAAATCCCCATACATAATGAAATAAAACAAAGCGAAAAGTAAAAGTATTCGAACAACCAATGAAGTCCAACGAACTTGCTTCACTTCCTCAGGGAAGTTCATCGAAATTTGTGGTTTTTCAATTTCTGCATCATAATCCAATTGGAATATTCATTACGCCTGGGGAAACTCTATTGAAAGCTGCAGTTTTTACACTTCAAAAATTATTCTTATGCTTAAATATCGAAAATAATTTGTATATAACTTTCTATCCATGGAAAATATTCCATCGGAAATTCTGACAGCACAAATACAAAAGCTTTTATAACTCTTTACGCAAGGAAAACATGCACTTGTTCAATTTAAACGTTTCCTCTCTTATTGCTTCTCTCTCTCGTTTTGTGTGCTCCATCCTTAATCATATTGCAGAGTTGCCTAATATTCATAACCAAATGGATCAAAACCCAAATGGCAGCAACAAGCAACCCGAACCCGCAACAGTTTCGTTTCCCACTTTTATTTTATTGCTCCACTATTAATGTTATTATTGTTGAGTTTTGGGGTTGGGCCTCTGGGTTTTTGCGGCTTCTGCTGTTGCTCGGAGACGGTGCTTTTACGATCGTTTCCCATCCGACGACTGGGGGGCACCGTTACCCACCAAATACCGAGCACAGCACTATTTTCCAACTCCACCTGCATGAAGAAATGATTCCTCTTTTTATGGTTTTACCCCGCAAAATCACTGAAGCATCGTTTTGAGGTGATTTCGGGTGTGATTTGGTTTGTTTGTTTTCATTTTTTTGTGGAATATTTAACTACTGCAGATGGCAGGCTGCCTCTTCGCCGGATACATTTGCCCTGAAAGCTGTAGCTGTGGGGAGACTTCAGAATTTTCATTGAACAAAAATATTTATATATTCTACAGACAGATGTAATTGTAGTGGCTGCTTTCATGAGGATATTCATAGGGTTCAATGACACAATTCTGTTCAGAAATATCAGAGTTTGAAGGCAGCAAAACTCTGCCTTAAAAACATAAATTATATATTACTCTTCACCATTCTTTATAATACATTTTAGAGTAAGTTCCATGGCAAATATCCAATTAGGTGTCCAACAAGCGGAATAATTTCTTGTTGCTCTCTGTTAAACTTTTCAATTTAGACATGCTGAGGAGTAGATACTTTGTACCTGGCTCGATCAGCGCTGGGGCCACCCATCCATCAATTATGTAGATATATCTACCTTATAATACAAATTCTCGAAGGTTCTTGATCAGCTCAAGCGTGGCAACAATTTGCTGACTGATGGCAGGAACATCGGGGGGCATCGGAGGCACATCTGCGGCGGATGGGAGTAGCTGAGGGAATGAAATCGTAGCTCGTGGGGGTGTTCCCATTGACTGATTGAGGTTCGCTTTTCGTATATTCAATATGATTTCATAATAAAATGTATCTATTTGTGGCAAAAATAGGGAAATGTTAGCGCCTTTAGTTTCGGGCGTGAGTCATGGTTGCGTGTGTTCAAATGGCGTGAAGAGTGTCATGATTTCTGGTTCAATGGTGTTCCCATCCGCTTCTCTCTCTCCATCTGTCTCTGCCGTATTCTATCAATCTGGCACTTGAAGGCATCCTCAACCTTCGCTTTCGGCTGCAGCTTCGTTTTTACATCATCGCTCTTGTTTATCCAACGTTTATCTGTGCTTTGGCAATGTGACCCAGAAAGGCCAATGAAAATGAAAATGAAAATGTCAGAGATGAAGTCCATTAAGTGGGCGCCAAGTAACCCTTCAGGAGGGGGGGGGGGGGGGGGGGGGGGGGGGGGGGGGGGGGGGGGGGGGGGGGGGGGGGGGGGCAGTAAATGTCGCTTAGAAAGGTTGTCATTGAGGGCCTCGACTGGTCCCATAAACCATTCATAATGCAAATATAACAGAGCATGTTATAATAGATCTGCTTTTTGGCCATCCATCCGCATTTCACGTACGAGCAGCATTCATTCCATTCAAATTCAAATTTTGAGTTGAATTCGCTTGAAGGTTGAACAAATGTCGCTTGCAGAAATCGCATTCATCGCCTGCGTTCACTGTCCATCAAAAAACACATTTGACACACATTCAAAATAATATCAATATAATATAAATAGATATTGTATGGACGATACCTTCCGATCTCTATCCAACTCTTGGCACACTTTGCCCGCTGGCAGTCTTGCTCTGCCGATTGCGCAAGGCATTTTCATTTTGTGTCTTCATTTGGTTGTGTATTTCCCTGCAGACGGAGGGGCCCAGAACCGTTAACTGGCTGCCCACAGAAGCTGCAGAGAGCTGGCAAAAATAGCTAATTAGAGCTCTTTTATCTGGGAAGTAACTTTGTTCAATCAGTTTTCACTTCAAGTAATCTTTTTTTGGATATTTATGTATATGCGGATCTGCATTAAATCTGAACATATTTATGTACATATGCAGCTTCATATGTACATTTATCTATATCGTGTTTTGTCATTGGCTGTCCGTCAATTAGCTGAGAATAGAACTCGCTGTGGAAATTGCTGTGTGCCCTGCAAACACCAGCAACAATATACAGCATATTGCGAGTACATTTATTAACAACAAATTTTTGATCGACCCCCAGGAGGGTTTGTATTCTGATTGTTGTTGTTGCTGCTCTTGCTGTTGCTGTTGGCGCGTGCGCAGCCAAGTGAAACGCAGTCGCCGTCGCCGTCAGCAGCAGCAACAGGAGGGTTGGCGTTGGCCGGGCTTTTGGGCAGACTTGACATGGCAGTGAGCGTGAAAAATAAATAAATACGTGTAATACAATGAAATGCGGGGTTGCTCATGCCGCTGCCGTCTCTTCAATGTTGAGCAAACATCACCAACAATAATACAAAAATGAAAATAAAACACAACAATAACAAAAAAAACAAAACTAAAAAACTCTTAATCATACTCTGGCGCTGGCGCTGGCGCTGGCGCTGGCGATGGCGCAGACGCTGACGCTGGCAGTGACGCCCGCTGCGCAGTTGGCGGAACTTTTGCATTAGGAGTTTCTGTTTCTGTTTCTGTTTTTGTTTCAGTTGGGGAGTCGCAGTCGGAGTCGAAGTTTTATTTTTGGCCAAACAACATTTGCGTCAACGTCGTCACGGAAGGCAGACGCGACAAACGCGACAACGCGACATCGAACGGAAACCGGAAAAACGAAACAGAGAAAAGAAAAAATACAACAACTACAACAAAAAATAGAATTAAAAGCCATCAGCGGATTGCGACAAAACAAGAGAAAGAGCAGGAGAAAGAGCAGAGAACGCTAACGAGAACGCCAAGCAGAGCGGGAACTGGGGAACAGGGGAATTGGGAATAGGGGAATTGGGGAATTGGAGAACTGGGAACGGTTCGGTACGGGACGGGACGGGACCATGTCCAGTAGTTCGCCGGTGATCGTGTGGAACGGTGCTCAGTATACGGCCAGCAGCAAAGAGCTCGAGCAGCTTCGTCGCGACTACGGCCTGGATGCACGCATGCTGGAGGCGACCCTTGTGCCGCGCTACAAACGCCACAAGCCGGAGGCCAGTGCACGCAACGAGCACGTGAAGCAACAGCCAGCAGCAGTTAAGCCCAGCTCCAATCCCAATCCCAATCCCACTCCCAGTCCCATCTCCAGCTCCAGTTCCGATTGGATACTGCGCCAGGATAAGGACAAGACCGTCAGCCAGGTCAACTTCCATCCCTGGCCGGGCACCCACTTCGATCTGGTGCCGTGGCGACGCACCCGCTCCGCCTTGGACCTCACCTCGGTGGCCGACTACAACCACAGCCTGCTGGTGGATGCCAAGTCGCTGCGCGGCCTAGAGAAGCTCGAGTTGCGGCAGCAAAGGCGCCGCCTGCAGCGTGCCCACTCCACACAGCAAGGCCTGAGGCGCCTCGTGCGCGTGCGCCTCATCTTCTCCATCGAGCTGCGCCACAAGCGGATGGAGGTGCTCCGGAAGAGCTCGCTGCCCGTGCGCGTCTTTGAGCAGCGGTTCGCTCTCAGCGAGAACGAGAGCGCCGCCTACGAGCGGGTGCTGCTGGATGCCAATGCGGGCGTGGAGCAGCATGTGGGCTACTTCAGCAGAAGGCCACAGCAGCCGGCGCAGGATGAGCAGCTTGTGGTGGACTTTGCCAGCGAAACAGAGGCCGAAACGGAGGATAAAGCGGAACCCGATGGGGCTCTCTATGCCACAATAGCCACTCCAGGAGCCAAGAGAGAAACTTCCACTGGGACTGTCACTGCATTTGCCACTATTACTCCTCCTGTTGCTGCCACGGCCAATGTTACTCCTGCATCGGGTCAGGTGCCATGCGTCAAGTGTCGCCACATTGCCATCAAATTAAGGTAAAACCCTAGCCCAGGCAGTCAGTGAAATCTCTGCCAATCTTCTGTTTGGACCGAAGTTCGAACGGTAAACAAGAACACAAAAAGAAAAAATAACTTTAAAAATAAACTCCAAAACTTAATTAACTACAGTGAAGTGTGACTAAAGCAAAACCCAAAATCAAAATCAATCAAAAAACAAAAATTCTGTTTCATGTTTATGTTTGTACTGTGTACATAATTATGTACATTTTTTTGTCTATGCGTGAGGGGCAGCGTGTGATCCAGCGTCAGTGATTTTTTAAATATTCATAATTTATTTATCAAATTTGTTTTCCTTTTCCTTCCGTTTTTGCTGTAGCTTTCCCAGTACATTCAGCCAATATTAAATCACAAATTGATTATCATCTTCCGTTCTCAGCTTTCCCTCTTTGTTCCTCTGTCCATTGATAATACTTAATAGATTTTAGTGTGGTCTGCCAAAGAGTCATCTAAAGTCATTGTCTATCTGTACATCGTTTGCTGGTTCTTGTTGCCCTTCTACAAAGGGCCCTTCTTCACCCGAAAACAAACTATCTTAGAAGCATGCAAGTGTTCAACATTTCAAAAGAAAAGTTAGTCCCAAAAGTTGACCCCTTAGCACTTCTCTTATCTGTGGGAGTCGTAACAAATCTTAATTCAACATTTCCCTAACCCTGTTCACCAATTTGGTTGACCAACTGCCCCGCAATACTCTTGCCAAATACTCGTAGTTTATTTCACTTTTTTGTTTTTGTTTACACCCAAGCCGCCCTGCTTAGTTGACACCTGCTACCGGCCCGTATTCATTTAACAGTTGCCACTGCCACTGCCACTGCCGCTGCCGTTGATGCAATAAACTGGAAGAAAGTGTCGTCTTCTCGGCTTTCTGTTTCTTTATCATGCGCCAAACTGGGAAAGCACAAACCAAAAGCAAACACGTAAACTACATCAGGGTATGCGCGACTTGCTGTATCATGAAAGTAAAGCTAAAGTTGGAAAACAACTTTATTGAGACAGTTCATTGCGCGATTAAGATGTATTTCTCTCCACAAAGCTAGGCTATAAAGGGTATCTCTTGCTTCGAACAGTTCTAGGCAGAGTATCATTATGATTGCTGGCTCCGCAGCGGAAACGGCAGGGGACGCTGCTGATCAGCGATCACGTGAGTCAGCAATGCCAAAGCATCGACTAAGGTGGAGGCAGCAGACTTGACCTGGTTTAGTGATTTGGAAAAGGGCACTGCAGTCGAAGGAGGCTTCGGCTCCCGCAGACAGCTGCAATCAACACTAATTGCCGGTACTTCCTTTAATAATTATGAGGAGCATCAAATCGTTTTGTTTTTTGTTTCATTCATATATAATTGGAGTGTTTCCATGTGCCTTTTTGCATTGTTTCAACAATGTTAGATTAAATGCAAAGCGCCATAGCCATTATTCAATCATTTTAACGTTTTCTATGAACTCTTTTTCGTACCAGATGTATACAAAATCTTCATTTATCTTATCTTCAGTCATATTTTTAACAACATTTAATGAGAGTATTTTTGATTAGCCATATATAATAAATACTTGTTGCATTTTCATTCTCTTTAACGAACAACTAACAACAAGTTCGTGTCTCAAGTCGTTTGTTTTTCCAGCAGCGAAGTTGACTGCGAAATATTTACGCGCTCATGCCCAAAAGTAGACAACAATTTCAGAGGCTTTTCCTTCAGTTTCATGAAGCACTCTGCTGCGGGAAGTTTGGGTTCCGTCAAGAATAATCTTTCTTAACACAATAAATAAGCAATAACTAATATAATTATCTCATTAATATTTGCAGAACCATAAACGACTATGCTCTAAGCTCGAATCTGCACTTGAAGCACAGCAACAGCAACGGCAACGGCAACGGCAACGGTAACAACCACAACAGCCACAAGCTGAACAACTTGCACAGCAACAACAAAGTCATTGGCAACGGCAACGGCAACAGAATGATGCACGCCCACCAGCTGGACTCGTATCTGGGCGGAGGACCACTCCAGATGATGAACATGAGCCAACTGCACCATCCGGGGAATGTTTCGGCAAGCGAAAGGCCCAACGGAGGGGCACTGGCACTGCACTATGCAGCGGCGCGTGGCTGCCTCGATTGTGTGCAACTGCTGGTGGCAGCATCTGTAGATATTTGGTAAGTCAAAACACAGTCAAAGTCCCCTCGCAAAATGTGGCAGAGTGAAAGCTTTGATCCAATATCCGATGCTAAATGCACGGCGCAAATCGCTCGACGATCGACGATCGGCGATTGATTGTCGCAGTTTCATTTGTATTTTATTATTTCCTTAATTTGTCGCTGTTCCCATTCGATGGAGCTGTTTAGCGTTTAAGCAATTAAGCTACAATAATAGATTTATGCTTCATTTCTGCTGCGTTAGAAAAATAAGATCCCAAGAATGGGTCACTGCGTGGATATGTGCTAAGAATATTTATATATATTTTTAAACATTTCCCAAGCAGAACCTCTTTCAGTCTTATTAATTAGAATGGATTGTCTTCCGCCATTGAACATTTCGGGCTATCCAAACAGTCAATTAAATGCGCTAATTAAAGCTTATTAGCGCATCGAACAATGAACAAAGAATGAAGTTAACCATACCAGAAGTTGGCTGCAGCAAGTGGGCCAACGATCCACCGGCTACTCCACTGGATTCACCCAAATTCCTATCGCCCCATAGAAGCGCGCGTCCATCCACAGCGAAGATTCATTTAATTGTTCCAGCTTCAGCTCTCGAGCTCTCGAGCTCTTGGGCAAGGCAAGCCAGCGAAGCGAGTTGCAGCCTCCAGCCGGCTTTGGAGCCAAGTTTGGTTCTATCTTGTGGCATTTTGAATTGGAGTCAAACTGGATGTCGGCAGGGGATCTGTGGCACCACAAAAGCACCGTTGCAACAAGTTTCTTTCATTCGCGTCGAAGTGGAGCAACCTCGGACCAAGTCCAGGAATCAGAATCAATGCCATTGCCTCTGCCATTTCTCTCCTGTTCTTCAAAGCTCACCCCTTGCTGCTGGATCTGGTCAGCTTCAAGCTGCAATTCATATTTATAATGCGTCGAGCCAGATCAATTGACATGACAACTGACACAGCGACACAGAAAGTTGACTGCGGGCTGCTCCATCAGTTCTCGGCTTACGGCAAGTTCCCAAGAATTCGTGTGGGAACTTTGGAAGCCAACCTCGCCGTAAACTATTCGATAATGTTGTATGCAAACGTTGTAGAAGCTGCAGCGTGTTTGCTCCAGAACGAGGGCTGTTCGTTGAGTTTTATCTCTAGATTTGTTTGCTGATAATATTTTATGGAGCAACCTTACCGTTGAGTCTGGCAAGTCGAACGAGCAGCCTTCGCCATAGACCATTTGATAATATTTTGCGTGGAGTGGCAGTGGCAGTGGCAGCAGCAGCAGCAGCTCGATTAACGCTGTCGCTTCTTGTGGCACAAAGCTGGTTTGCTCCCGCCACGCTCTCGAGTCCGCTGGTGGCTGCCCCAGCTGAGCTTGGGTTGAGCTGCGGCAGTGCCGAGCGTTGGCCACTCGATGTGGCCTGGCGCTGGCTATTCGCGTTTGGCCAGTCGAACCGAACGGTGCTTTCATTTCGTTCCGTTCCGTTCCGTTCCGTCTTGAGTCTGCAGCAAACCGCACCGCACCGTCAGCGTCTGTGTTCGTTTGTTTGTTACCGTTTACCCACATCGCAGCGATCGCAAAAACCGTTACATGCCGCAGCAGTGGCAGTGGCAGTGGCAGCAACATGCGGCCTAAGAATGAATTTGAATTTTGATTTCAATGCGGGATCTGGCACGGTTTCGTCTCGCTTCGGACACTGATGCTCGATGCAGCAGCAGCTCGGGCGGTCCTCCGCCTCCGCCTCCGCCAGCGCCAGCGCCAGCGCCTTTTGCCACCCAGCAGCCACTGCCTCAGCGTCAGCGTTAGCCTCAACCTCAGAGTGCTTGCAACGTGCTGGCCAGCCAGAAGAAGCCGACAAAATTTCGCGATTCAAAGTATTTCGAATGCAGTTAACGAATCGGAACGCGAATTAATTAACAGTTTCAGTGTACCAAAGAACTGCAAGAAACAACAGCAACAAAAGAAACAGCAACAACAACAACAACAACAACACTCATCAAACAGTAGCCACAACATTAGGCTTAATGCTGAAGCCAAGTGGAGCTCGAGATCCAGTAACCGCAACCATGAAAAGGTAGCCTCGGTGGCCGCATCTTTGAGCCGCTCAGTTACAAATAATCAATTGGCCAGGCAGCGAGGAGGATGCCAGCCAGCCCCGAAACATTGGCCCGCAACAAAAGAACACAAATCGGATATCCCAATAATAATAATAACAATATTGTGATCCTATTTTGTTGTGTGTTTGTGGTGTGTGTTTGTGTGTGACCAAACAAAAATACAAATATTCTGTGAGTGCTTTGTGGCTTGTGCTTTGTGGAGGATTCAATTAAAGAGGATTGACACGAATGGAGGAGACAAGACAATAAATACAAATGAACTCAAGAATGGATAAAAGGAAACCTCTAGGCAAACTGCAGTTCGTGTTTCCAGTGTGGCTGAGAACCAAGAAAACAGCTGCAAAGATGAATGACAAATTGATTTATTCATAGAAAAGATAGATAGAAAGAATGCAGTCTGTTGGCCATGATGCTCTGGCTATAGACTTTTATTTTAATGTGGGACTCAACATAAATAAACAGCTAGAAAGAAGGAAAAGAAGGAGGAGTAAGCTGTTAGGATGTTAAGCAAAAGGAATGGAGCAAATGGTTAGAGTTTTTAATTGAATTTTTATAGAATATATTTACATAGATTGAGGAAATGTAGATACATTGGATTTAGATTAGATTTCTGCAATTGAAGACCCAAAAGATAAACAAATATATGTAATAGAAGATGGATTAAATGAAGCTCGTAAGTGCAACTCCGGCGAGCTTAAATATTAAAGTTTCCCTGCCACTCAATGCGGGTTAAGTGGAACACAAATGGTGCGCCCCACAAAATGGTTCGAGAATGTTGCGAGCATGGAGCAGTGGGCGCTGTCGCTGTCATTTAAAAATGATCCATTAATCGATTTGCAAGACAATCTTCACTGTCTCATTTGCTGTATGTCTGTCTGTCTGTCTGTCTGTCTGCGTGGTCTATTTGTGTCATGCGAGTTGCTTTCATTCTGCATTCTCTTAGTGATCGGCGGGCGATCGTCAATCAGCGGCCACACTTTTGCACGCAAATGTTCAATTAAATTCATTGGGGCTGGCTCATCATAAACGAGTATACGTATAACTGTCAACAGGCACACCTAACGAGGTTCGTGTGAGGCCTCCGCAGTCTCAGTGTCTGCCATGCTCCTGCTTTCGTCTGCTGCTCAATTATTCCGCCTTTCATTTGTCGGGGCTTCAGTTTGGTTTTCTATATGGCAAGACACATTAAATAAATTAAAAAATAATTATTAAATTGCAATTAGAAAAAGAAAACAACAAAACAAAAAACAACAGAGAAGAGCAGCTAAGAGAAGATATTAAATTGGGATACATATAAAATATCTCACTGTATTTTCCCCCAGTATTTCCAAACAGAAGCTGAAACAGGGTGGAGCACGTGATGGGAGTGAGCACGGGGGTAGAGGTGTGTATGGGGTTGTGATAAAGATGAACAAAAAAATCAACTTTAATTGGTTTACAATTCATTTCTAAAGCGAGAAAAGCTGGAAAATGTAACAAGTCGTCCGAAGTCGGACGAAGAAAGCCACTTGAAGCGCCTTCTTCCACGCTCTCTCTCTCTCTCTCTCCACTGTGCCCCTCTGTCTGTGGATCTGGCAGTGCCGCCTCGCGTATTCCGTGTGTGCAATACCCATGAAGTCGTAAGCCAGTTGACTAAGTGAACAGTACAGATGCGAGTATATATCTGCACATTACCCATCATCGTCGCCTCCGTTGCTCGAGCCAGCATCATTGGCGACTCGCGCGAAAGCACAGTGGGACAAGATCCATGCCAAAGGGAGCTACAAAATGTGGGAAAATTAAGACACAATCCATAAAAAGGCCATGGGCACAGATCAAATGGAACAGGAATGCTAGAAAATAGAAAAGGGTCTAAAGGATTACTTACTAACGCTGTGACAGGCTGCCAAAAGTATATTTTTCAGATAAAAAGAATAGCCGAAAGGTGGGAAAGGCAGATACATAGTTAAATTACCATTAGAATGTTGCACAAATATACAAAAACACTTGAAAACTATTACAGAAAGCGTAGAGAAGTAAAATGAAAATATAAATTAAACAACTAAATGCAAGTGCACTGAAGTTTAAACGTGCGAAAGCTCAAATATTTATCGGAAAAGAAAGGCTTTGTATAGGCAGATCCAGAAAATATAGAAAAAAGCATAGAAAATGATAAGAACTCATCAAAATAAATAGAATAAACACAGAAAAGCAGAAATGTATTTGCAAAGTTTTAGCTTCATGCCCTGCACTGCTTTAAATGTTCCTTAAATAATGCCATGCTGGCCCCACTGTGCGGCATGTGGAAAGCAGAGCTGTGCTCGCGTTGCCAGCTAAATGGTAACAGCAGCAGCAGCAGCAGCAGCAGCAGACGCCACACGGCCCGCGGCATCTACTGGGAGTCAGGCGTAACACAGAGAAACGTCTGGTGCAGCGCCCACCCTCCCGTTCCCGTTCCCGTTCCCCTTCCCCTTCCCCTGCCACACTCCAGCTACTTCATGCCAGTGCAGTTTTTTAAGCGTTAATTTCACCAAAATAACAACAGCAGCAAACAATGCCAGATCAGTGGTTGAGCCGAGGCAACAGAAAGCAGAAATAGTGTTTTGCTAGAAGTTTGTCGAGCAGATCGAGCATCGAGCATCGAGGGTTTAATCTGTAAGCAGCCACATCGGAAGCCAGACAGCGTTAGATACAGGGCCGGGCCGCAGCAGACTTTCGGTTTCAGCTGAAAGACAGTTAGACGGACAGACGGACGGACGGACGGACGGACGGACGGACAACCGGTGATACCTAAGGTAAAGCTACAAGTTCGTGTGGCATGTGGCACGAGTTCGAGTAAAACTCGATATGCAAATGCAAGAAAGCGAAAAGAAAACCCAAAAAGCGATCAAATATTCAAAGTGATTTTTCCTAAACCAGTTTCATATTTGATTTGATTTTTGTTTGTTCAGTGTCTAACGGTATTGGGAAAATCAGAGTGAAATAAACGGAAAACCCGGCTGCAGAAGACACTCAAGACACGAGTGCCAAAAAAACGAAAGTGCAAATCGAAGAATTATACAAAAAGAGTGTTGAAAAGCGTTGAAAAACTTTAACGTGTTGAGTAGGTAAGCGAAGGCCAATTAAAGCGAGATTCAAGAGCACCAAGCACTTCACCAATCAAGCAAGCAACCAACCAACCAACCAACCAATCAATCAATCAAGCAATCAATCCAAACTGAGACACACACAAGTACACACCCATCCAGCCCCCTAGCCCCTGCAAATTGATTTTCTGAGCCTTTTCATAAACCAACACTGTCTGTCCATTTCCTCCCCTCCTTGCAAATCCCCTCTGCCACCACTCTCTAGCTACTTCTCCACCATCAACGTTAAGAAGGGCCTGCTGGGCCGCATGACCACAAGTCTGACCTCCTACCGCCGCAGCAAACAGAAGAGCAAGTCGAACAATGACATCCACACGATCATCGCCACGGAGGTAACGGCCGCCATCCTCAGCAGCAGCAGCCACAGCAGCAATTCGGAGATCGAGCAAAGCCCCACGGAGCTGGGAGCCCAGAATCAGGACAGCCAAAGTCACAAACAGGAGCATAGCAATTCGAATAGCAGCGATCTGCAGGATCTAAGTGAGCTCATGATGGAGGCACACAAGCATCAGCATTCGCACCAGCACCAGCACCAGCATCCGCACCAGCATCAGAATCAGCATCAGCAGAGGAAAGCGGCTGTGGAGGCTGTGCGGGATCGCTTGGATGTGGAGGATGATGAGAACGACTCCAACGATGATGACGAGGCGACGCCCATGCTGAGCGGTGTGGGGCGAAAGGAGCAGAACAATCGCCGCAGTGTCGTGAGGTTCGAACGGGGGTATTCTTATTGATTGAAATGGATCTAATAAGGGTATATATATTGTAATATAATTCCTCAAAAATGGTCCACACACTTTGACCGGTTGTGAATTTATTTTCCCACACGCATTCCATTGATCTTGGATTGTGATCGATCGATCGACTAATGATCGAAGCAAGAGCAGACAAATGCGCAGCAATCCACAAAGATGTGCCGTTGAACTCATGCAAAACCCAGAGCTCAATCAGTGCATTTCTTTGATAATATTACACACGCCATGATATCAATGTGATTGCTCTATTTTGTTCGTATTTATGTATATGGGCATGGACTCTCTGAATGCAGTGTGAATGGCGACTGAGCTTCAATTTTTTATTCAGCCTCATGTCTGGCGTTAATGCCAAAATGTATCTTGCTTTTTTTGTTGCTCATGGAACACTTGATTTTTCGTCTGTTAATTGGTTGGCAACTTATGTGAACGTCTTTTTTTGTTTGTTTTGTTTTCCTTGCCGATTGCAGCGCCAATACGCAAATGGACAATGATGTCACGCCCGTCTATTTGGCAGCACAGGAGGGCCACTTGGAGGTGCTCAAGTTTCTGGTGCTTGAAGCCGGCGGCTCACTTTATGTTCGTGCACGCGACGGCATGGCACCGATCCATGCCGCTTCACAAATGGGCTGCTTGGATTGCCTCAAATGGATGGTAAGCTAAGCCACTGGCCGAGTGCCTGCCGTGCAACACATTCAACACTATTTTGGCTGCCATTTGGCTGTACGAGTAGTTAGCAAACTGTAGCAGCGGCCAATGGGGGTCAATTGGAGCACAGCAACTTGCCGCGATCTCGTTTTATGCGCTCTTATTTTCTTTTTTTTTGTTTGTGGGTCCTGTTTGGGCTAACGGGGTTCTGATGTCTTGACCAGTTTGTCGCCTGGCCTATACAATCCAACAATTGGGGAATGTCCCCAGAGGAGACCAAGCAGCAAGACAGAGAGAGAGAGAGAGAGAGTGCAGTATGCAGATGACCGCTGACAATGGCCCATTGCATTGAATCCGCTCTGCCGCTCTTCCTCTCTGGACAAGAACCAGAATGCATTTTTCAAGATCATCGCAGAAGTCAGTAGAAAATCACCTTTCTAAATTGAACTAAATAGTTTTCCATTTGCCGTAAGAGCTGACGGGTGGAAAACCACTTTCCACAACACTCGTACACACACAGTGAGTGGACAGGCAAGACACAGTGAAGAAACAAGCAAATATCGTTTCAAGCAGGACAATGAGCTGCTGAACGAATGAAGTGCGAGTGGACACTGAGTGGACAGAAGGCTGAACGGCCAGTCAGTCAGTCAGTGCAACACTTGACACGAGTGGGAAAGTATTGGCCATAAAAGATCAAAAGCAAAGAGAAGGTAGATAAATATGGGTACATTTGTGCAAGTATTTTATGTGGCAGTTGTGTGGACAAAAGAGAGTCGTAAACACCGGCAAAGAGTTTAGAGAACGAACAGTCAGAGTCAAAACAATTACAAAGATTTTTGCAATAGGAACAAACTGAACTTTGGGTTCTTTGATTTCTCTTGGCCAGGTTCAAGACCAAGGCGTCGATCCAAATCTGCGGGATGGCGATGGTGCCACACCACTGCATTTTGCCGCCTCACGGGGTCATCTATCCGTGGTGCGTTGGCTGCTCAATCACGGTGCCAAGTTGTCGCTGGACAAGTATGGCAAGTCGCCCATTAACGATGCCGCCGAGAACCAGCAGGTTGAGGTGAGTACGAAGAACCTCGCTTGAACCTGCCAACACTCTGACTCTGACTCCGTCTGACCACCTGCAGTGCCTGAATGTGCTGGTCCAGCATGGTACGTCTGTGGACTACAACAGCAAGAACAGCGTGCAGCGACATAAAGCGCAGCAGCAGCAGCAGCAACAGCAGCAACATCAGCAGCAGCAGCAGCAGCAACATTTGAGCAGCAGCTGCAACTCAAACTCAAACTCCTCGAAGCAAACGAGTCGCAGCAACACCATCAAGTCCAAGTCTTCGTCCACACTGAGCTCCGATGTGGAGCCGTTCTATTTGCATCCGCCAGCAGTGACTGCAGGCGCTGGAGGAGGATCAGCCATGGGCCTGGGCATGGGCATGGGCATGGGCATGGGCATGGGCATGAGCATGGGCATGGGCATTGGTATGGGAATCTCGCGAAAGAACAGCGATGCCTTGTACTCGCAGCAGTCGCGCAGCTCCTCGGAGAAGCTGTACAATGGCAGCTCCTCCATGGGAGGAGGCAATGGTGGTGGAGGAAGCAGCTCCACGGGAGGTGGCGGTGGCGGCGGCGGCGGAGGAGCATTGCTGCCCAACGATGGGCTCTATGTGAATCCCATGAGGAACGGCGGCATGTATGCCACGCCCTCGCCCAACGGCAGCATCTCGGGTGAGTCGTTCTTCCTGCACGATCCGCAGGACATCATCTACAACCGGGTGCGGGATCTGTTCGTAGACTCGGACTGCAGCAGCGTGAAGCAGCACAACAGCAACAACAACAGGGACAGCCACAGTCACAATCACAGTCATCACAGCAGCAGCAGCCACCATCATCAGCAGCAGATAATGCAGTCGAAGGCTGGCAATGCAATGACCATCCAGGCGGATGTCCATTCCAGCTCGAGCGGCGCTGGCAGCGGCTCCGACGAGTCCGTCTCCATCTCGTCCAGCTTCAATTCGCCCAAGAGCAGCAGCCACCATCATCAGCAGATGCGCAGCCAAAGCTTCAATCGGCATGGCAGCAGCAGCAACAGCCACAGCAACATCAGCAACGGCAATGGCAACATTGGCAACAGCAACAGCAGCGGCGGGAAGAACAACAACAACGGCAACCATAACTACAAACAGCACAAGAGCATGCCCAGCAATGGCAATCAGAATGGTGGCGGGGATCACGACTACGAGGATATTTATCTGGTGCGTGAGGAGTCGCGCAAGCAGCACCAACATCAGCAGCAACACCAGATACAGCTGCAGCAACATCAGCAACAGCTGCAGCAACATCAGCTGCAGCAGCAGCAACAGCAACATCAGCTGCAGCAGCAGCAACAGCAACAGCAGCAGCAGCAGCAGCAACATCAGCAACAACAGCAACATAAATACAATGTAGGACGTTCTCGATCCCGGGACAGTGGCTCCCACTCACGTTCGGCCAGCGCCAGTTCCACACGCAGCACAGACATTGTCCTGCAGTACAGCAATCATGTGAGTATTTATTACCCACAGAAAACCCACAATTAATTAATTATTTTCCATTCTCATTTTTAGCATTTGAACAACAAGCGCAATAACAGCATTTCCAGCAGCAACAATAATGGCAATAACCACATCAGCAGTACTAACAACAACAACAGTCTGCTCAATCGTAACAAATCCCATTCAATCATCGGTTTGCACAGCAGCAAATACGATTCCTCGCTGAAGGACAACTACAGCTCAAAGAATGTGAACCTCAAGAATCAGCTGCTCAATGGTGGCATCAAGAGCGACACCTACGAGAGCGTCTGTCCGCCCGAGGATGTGGCCGAACGCACCAAGCAGACGCACAAGAACTCCATGATACGCAACAATCTGGTGGATGCCTCCATGCCACAGTTGCTCGGCAGCAGCAGTCCCAATATTGCACAGAATGTCAACGGCAGCGGCAGCAGCCATCAGAACAACAGCAACAACAATCTGGGCAGCAGAAACCTGAAGCGGGTATCCTCGGCGCCACCCATGCAGAACGTGGCTTTGGGTTAGTTCATACACCAACCAAAACTGTGTCTTCAAAAAGCTCGCACATAACTGTCAACTCGCTCGCCACTCACTGTGTGCAAACGCAAGAGAGAAGCCACGTTTGTCGTTCTCTCGCGACGATGTACGCAGTGAAGAATAGTTACAAAAGGGAAGTGCAGAAATCGGTCTCTGCTAGAGCGAAGAGCGAAACGAGCCAAGACAAATATGATCGAGAGCTTTGAAAGCTTTTTTTCAGACACCCTCAAAGTGTTGACAGTTATTTGCGAGCTATTTTGAATAATTTCAGAACTCTTTAACAGCCTGCCGTCACATTTAAGATTTTACTCAAACTTCTTTATTATTATTTTCCCCAGTGAACGGACCACCACCACCGCCACTGCCACCGCCGCTGCGCGCTCCAGCCCAGCAGCAGCGCAACAACTTGAACGACCAACCGAGCAACGGCAGCAACAACAACATCTACAAGAAGAATGTGTTTGGAGCGAATGCAGTGTCTAGTGGTGCAGTGCCAGCTGCTGCTCCCATTGTGGCCAACGATGCCGTTGACTCCGATTCTGGCCTGGAGGTGATCGAGGAGCCAAGTCTGCGACCATCAGAGCTGGTGCGGGGCAATCACAATCGGACCATGTCCACCATATCAGGTGAGCCGTATGAATAAATCGTATAAATATAAGCTGGTAAAACTGCAACTGTTTTCCACTGGGTAACATCTTTTTGTGGCTAATTCTTGATCAGTTTCAGCCAGGTGCTCTACGTAGATTTGTATGTTTATTTAAGAATATTCCATCACGTTGTTCATCAGCTAGCAATCATTCAATACCCCCCACATTCGACTTTCTCATCATCTCCTTGGCAACATTGGAAAATTTCAAAAATTTTTGTAAGCGAAACAGAACAGAAATCGCCATGAATACATCAGAGACAAGCGACGATGTGGACCTAATCGACCTGGGGACAGATACCTCATCCACACTGGACAACGATAAGAAGCGGGCAAAGCAACAGCCCGAACCGTGGACTCTGAGCCTAGATAAACTGATGTCGGAGCTGAGCACTAACACGTCCACCAAGAACAAGTACATTGTCTATAGTGTTGGCAATCCCACGCTCATTCTCAATTCCCTGGATCCGCAGCAGCTGACCGTTGCCGAGTCACAGCTGCTCGACAAGCACTTGACGGACGTGAAGGTGCTGCCACCATCCATGCCAATGTTCCCGGATCCACAAATACTTGTGCAGGGCATGAAGCGCTATAATGTCAAGCAGAGGGCCAGCAGGGCCACTTTCAGCCGGGACAAGCTGACCAAGGGCGTGGTCAAGGGCCGATACAGGACGGCATGTGGCGAGGTCAAGATCTATCCGAAGCACAATGACGTTCGTCAGGCGGCGGTGCCGAAAGTGGATCCCGACGCCATACCCAGTACCAGTCGTGGCCTGGCATCGACTCCACGTCCCTCCACGGTGCCCCATCGGAAGTCGTACAGCAAGCGGCAGGCGGCCAAGGCCAGCACCAACAAAGGGCAAGCCTCGAAGGACACGGCGCCAGGGAAGGACTTGCAGCCGAAACAATAAAAGAAGACCGATGCTCCTCACTAGTCGAATAAACTAAGATTTCTGCATACTGCAACATATTACGCTGTCATTTCCGAGGTCTTTCACCTCCGACAAGACAGCCAGCGGACAGCAGACGACAGTCGTTAGGAGTCAAGGTGGGGTCGGGGTCGGGGCCGAGTCCGAGTCCGAGTCCGAGTCCGGGGTCTGGCTTCGTCAGCGTCCAGTGGCTTGTGACTGTCTGCATTGATTGATCAATTAGGGGAAATGTTGCCAGTCATGTGGGTCGATTGAGCAGGAAAATGGCCTGCAGTCTGCAAACAAGTTGGCAGCAATGAGAATCAGCTTCGGCCAGGCAATGCCTGGAAGGTGTCCATAGGAGAATGAGATGGCTGGAGGCGGATGTCTCTGTTGGCCGTGCACGGATAGCTTAAGTGTTGTTTATTCAGCCCAATTGGCAGATGAAGAATTGAATGTTAGACTGAGTTTTCCAGGCGTAACCCTATCATGCCGCACGCCCCATTAGGCGTCCGACAACCAGTTCCCATAGAGCCATATTTGCCGCCTCATTATCACACAATAAATATCGAGCTTTGACTTAATTGCTGCCAAATAAGACAGTGACAGGCGACAGGCGACAGGCGACAGGCGACTGTACAAAATGTGATGCTATGTTTGACATGTGTTGGCTCGATTTTCCATTTGCTAATTGCCTATTATGCCCGTGGAGGTGGATGCGGAGCAGGTGGAAAACTGGAAATGCTTTGGCTGGTTATAATTGAGACGACGTTCACACGCTAATGCGGCAAAAGATCCGTGGAAACAAAGAAGTGGAAGTGCAAAAGTGGAAATGGCTGAAACCATTGAAGACAATCCAATCCAAGCCAGTGCCGTATGGGGGCCAAAGCCGACCCCCTGATCCCCAGATCCCCAGATCCCTATGCCCGATATCAAATGGAGGGAAACCAGAAAAGCGTTGGGCATGCCAGCAGACACACTGGACATGGGAGACTGAATCCCTGGGATGCAATGAGGAAGCTATTTGCCAGCAAGACACGAGGCACCCAAAGCCGAGGAGAGCCGAGACCCCCAGCGCCGAGACCTGTAACATGTCCCACACATTTCCCCATAATTGGCCCCGACGATGGTTCACTCACCACCCGCAACGCCTCCACATGGCCTGGGCGGTAGTAGTTCGGTCTCTGGCAAAACTTTTACCAACGAAAGTGAACGTGTTTGCCGCACAACAACAGAAAAAGCGAGACAAACGATCGTTGGAGCTGCAGTAGCTGCAGTTGATGGCAACCTCCACATTGTCGTCGCCGTTGTGGCTGTGCCTCTGCCTCTGTCTCTGCCTCTGCGTCGTTGTGTGTTTTCGGAGCTTTGCCGATCCGCTGTCTTGGGTGAATAACTTTGTCGATCGTCTGAACTCGGATCAGGCTGCCAGCGACGTTCGCACAGACAACATCGTCGAGTTCCCAAATCGTTCGTTGAGTCCTCCAAATCATTCGTGGAGTTCCCTAATTATTCGTGAAGTTCCCGTTGCGTTCTTGGAGTCTCCCAGCAGCGTGTGTGCGTGTGCAATCGATCTTTTTCTTTTCTTTTTAATGTGTCAAACACTGGTGGAGAATGTGATTATTTAGCGTGAATTTGAATGAAGACACTTTTGTGCACCTGCGAAGCATACTGACCCGGACCCTGACCCTGGACCCATTCAAACATCACCATGAACATGCTGGGCTCGGTGAAGATTCACAAAAACTCGCGCCGGAATTACTTCACACTGAGCTTTCAACGCTTCGATATATTTCGGTGTAAGTGCACATAAAAGGCAGCAAAAGAACACAAAGGATAAAGCAGGGATTATGTGTAGAAGTTGTGGCTGGAAGTTAACAAAAGTTTGATCTGCCTCATCGTATTTTGTGCTACTACTTTTAGTGCATTTATTATCTTATGCATTATCTTTTGTGATCTGCATATTCTCCGCTTTCGTTGCTCCATCGGTAGATTTTGCACAGCCTTTTTGCGCTACAAGTAAATACTGCAAATATTTTTGAGGGCCAAACCAACGGCAGGCATTGCACTCGCGAAACCAAATCAAATTGCAATTCCAATGTGAGTTTCACCGTGACATGGACCCGTTGCAGGAGTTGACAGCTACAAAGCGGTTGCGGCTTTGCTCCGCTCAAATTGATAGATAAAATGTGGCAGCTTGTTGGACACAGTCGCTTTTTGGTTGCTCCTTTTTTGATGTGGCCAAAATACAACAACAAAAATGCAACTCGACTGCGATGCGATTGAATGCAATGCATAAAATCAAAAAACAAACTGGCTCGACTCGATTGTAAGTGGTTTGCCCATAGACAATGGCCGGGCCACAGTCAGTGCCACAAGTCCATATCCACGTCCACATTCACGTAATGGCCATGATCTCCGAACGAAACGAGTTGTGCCGGCGGTGGAGCCGTGAAAGTTGCAGCAAGACGCTGGCCGAGGACTACTCGATCGGGTTTGGTTTATTGGTAGCCTGAGCGAACGGAGATTGTTTGCCCAATTAAGTTGCTTGTGGCATGGAAATTGAAGCAGCAAACACACACACACACACACTCAAGTGGTTTTCCAAGGAAATTGGTGGGGTTAAATTATCTTTTTTCATGACAAGAGATACTCCCACGAGCGCCCGAGGTGGTGGAAGTAATTCTGGCACAGCGACTGCCACTTCCGTGTGATCGTATCCGTTGGCCACAAAGTCATAAAAGGGAAGACAATCGCTGGGTTTTGTACGAGCCAAAGAAATAAATTGGTACAACTTTTCAAGGAATTATCTATAATTTACGACCAGGCCAGGAAGACAACAGCGGCAGTGGGCGGAGAAATGTTTTCTTGAGCATTATTTGAATTATTATTTGATATTCCAATCGAAAGTTAGTCTCTAGATGAAAGATAACTTATCTGAGCAGCTTTGTGGAGCTGTAAAGCTGATTGTACTCTTATCTCCAATTGAAGTTTGGACTTGGACTATCAGTGGCCCTAAGATCGGAGAATGTGGGCTTGGAATTTGCAGCATCTGCGACTTAATTTAAGCCCCGTGCCCTTATATAAAATTAGCTCCCATCTACAGCCATCTCCCATTTGGTTTTCCTACTGCTAGTTACAGTTTGAAACATATTTAATTGGGGGCTAAATGTCAGGATGGAGCTGCTAGTCCATCATTGGTGGCTCTGGCTCTGGTGTGGCTCTGTTCTTGTGGCGCTTCGTCTGGTGAAAGGCGCCGCGTCTCTGCATACGCAATGAACTATTGTCTTGTTGGTGTTGGCTGCTCAAGTGAGCATGACCAGAGCTGGGGAGGGAAGCGTCGTGTTGACTGCTAACCCACAAAAGCGAGCGACGAATGAAACTCATAAATAAATTTGTTCAATTTCAGCGAACAAGAAAGCCAAGCTGCTCAATGGTAACGCCAATCCTCCAGTCAACAATTCAGCAGCAGCAGCAGCACAGCCGAATGGAGAGGACAACGGTGGCGGAGGAGCAGGAGAATCGCGTAATCCGAATGGCAGCATCTATGGCTATGCTGAGGCACCCAAGTCCCAGAGGGGCGGCAACTATCAGCAGACGACATCGCCCCATTACCCGCAGCAGTCGCAGCAGCAGCAGCAGCAGCATCCGAATCATCATCATCAGTATGCGCCGAGCCTTTATGGGGGTGGATCCTCGGCGGAGGATCATTACGAGCTCACCCAGCAGCAGGCGCAGTATGCGGGCATTTATGGTGAGGCTGGGAGCGTGGCAAACGGATCGGTGAGCGGTCGCACGGGCGGACCCAATCTGGTCAATAAGCAGCTGGTGCTGCCGTTTGTGCCCCCCAGTTTTCCCAATAAATCACAGGACGGCATCACGCACCTCATCAAGCCGTCCGAGTATCTGAAGAGCATCAGCGATAAGCGTTCGTGTCCATCCTCGGCCCGGTGAGTAATCGTCAGTCCCGTGCCCCTGCCCCTGCCACTGCCACTGCCACCACTTTCAATTAGCAGATGGCAGCCGATTTAATTTGGCTGAACATCTCGTGCAACGGCAAAAGCATAATTAGTGCAGTGGCAGAGGTACAGTTGCCTCGCCTCAATTAGCCATCCACCAGATGGATGGATGGGAGAGATGGATGGCTGGATGGATGGTTGGTTGAATGCAACTTGGCAGCAGCTTGGCTGCATCTTTGCAATTAGCAGCTACAGACAGAGAGAGACAGAGAGAGAGATCTCGAGTCTTGAGAGTCAGTCAGCCACTTCCTCCGCCGCTCAAGAGTGCATGAAATTTTATGCGTGCCAGTTGTGAATGTGGCATGCTGCTTGCCACGGCTGCCACGACTGCCACGGCTTGGCATGGCCATGGCCGTAGCTGCAACTCAGTTGCAATCCAAAGATGATACTGCGCACACGCCACCACGCCTGGCGCAGGTCCGAATGGCCACAATGCAGTGAAAGTCGCAAGCTTCCAGCCACTAATCCGCTTCTATTTCGTTCTCTGTGCAGCTCCACGGATACGGAGGACTACATGCAGATACAGATTGCCAACCAGCAGCAGCAGCACCAGCAGCAGATACATCCCCAGCAGCAGCAGCAGCAGCAGCATCATCATCATCATCCACATCCACATCATAATCATCATGGAATTGGGGAGCAGCCACCGTTGCCGCCGCCGCCACCGCCCTTGCCGCACAATGTGCCGCTGCCGCCCATGATGATGCCTGGGATGATGAATGGCAACGGCAATGACTCCACCATGGCCAGCAAGTCGCACAAGACCAAGAAGCCGCACGGTGCCGCGCCCAATAGTCAGGACACTGCCACACGGAAGCAGCACCAGCCGCTCTCGGCCATTTCCATACAGGATCTGAATAGCGTTCAGGTGAGGCTCCCCTCACACGCTCCACCCGTGAAGGGATTCATATTAATCAAAACATTCCCCAGCTGCGACGCACGGACACGCAGAAGGTGCCGAAGCCGTACCAGATGCCAGCGCGTAGCCTGAGCATGCAGTGCCTCACATCCAGCACGGATACGTATCTGAAATCGGATCTGATTGCCGAGCTGAAGATCTCCAAGGACATACCGGGCATCAAGAAGATGAAGGTCGAACAGCAGATGGCCAACCGCATGGACTCCGAGCACTATGTGGAGATAACCAAGCAGTTTACGGCCAACAACTATGTGGATCAGGTGAGTTGAACTCCATCCAGGCATCCATCCATTGCCCCCCGTGAATCCCGACCTTGGACTAAGAGCGTTCGTGATGCGTGGCAAAGATCTACTTGCAGATACCGGAAAAGGATCAGGCCGGCAATGCCATACCCGACTGGAAGCGTCAAATGATGGCCAAGAAGGCGGCCGAGCGGGCCAAGAAGGACTTTGAGGAGCGCATGGCCCAGGAGGCCGAATCGCGTCGCCTCTCGCAGATACCGCAGTGGAAGCGCGATCTATTGGCTCGCCGCGAGGAGACCGAGAACAAGCTGAAGTAAGTTGAGTTTTGGGTGAGCGTGTGGTGAGGAGGGCCGGGCCGGGCGGGCTGGCGGCACGTGGGCGAGCTGGATGGCAGGGCGGACTCATCTCTGACCGCTGTGTATGTGTGGCCTTTTCCAGAGCGGCCATCTACACGCCCAAGGTGGAGGAGAACAACCGCATTGCGGACACCTGGCGGCTGAAGAACCGCGCCATGTCCATAGACAACATCAACATCAATCTAGCCGGCATGGAGCAGCACTATCAGCAGATCCAGTTCCAGCAGCTACCACAGCAGCATCCCCAGCAGGGTGGCAACAAGGAGAACCACAGCCACAGCCCAGACTCCAACCCAGAGCCGGAACAGGCCGCCGCTGCCGCTGCCGCTGCCGCAACCGCAGCCGCCGCCCTGGAGCCAACCGTGGACCAGCCCCTAGACCGGGAGGCCCACGAGCAGCAGCAGCAACAGAAGCAGGAGGAGGAGGACAACATCATACCCTGGCGTGCCCAGCTACGAAAGACCAACAGTCGCCTCAGCCTCATCTGATTTGATTATGATTATGATTATGATTACGATTTTGATTCTGATTCCCCCCATGGGTCTTATAAGTGGTGCATTTTGTTGAATTGTGTTTTTTTTTTTTGTTTTTTTTCCTAACTTAAAAACTGTGCAATTACGATATGAAATGATAATTAAACCTACTATATTATAATATTATACTAGCTTAAGACTAGGCATTGTTTTATCAACCAACTGCAGATCCAAGGCAAGCTTAAACCCAAAAAAAAAAAAAGAAAACATAAACGAAAGATCGAAGAGATCGAAGAGATTGAAAGTATGTGAAAGTAAGAGTATATAGAAACCTAACTTGTACGATAAACGTATATTATTATATTACATATACATATTATTACTCTTAATTTATGATTATAATTGCTTCTCGAAAAAAAAAAAATACCTATTGTTATTCCTATCTGACTCGAGCAGTCAGGGACCGAAAAGCGAACCGATTTACTCGGATTTATTTGATTTAATAACATTTTATCTGCATATGCAATTACATTTTTGGTGTTGTACTTTTATTATTAAAATTTTGGAGCATTTTTTTTTTGAAACTATTTATAAATAATGCAATTTTTGACTTTGACTCGGCATGAACTTAATATTTAATGGCATTAATTTAATTGATTCGCTTAAGACTTTTTTTTATTGTTATTTGTTTTTATATATCGGCTCAACAATTTTATAATTAATATCTAAACATGCATATACACAAATACATCAAATATACACAGCAAAATGATTGAATCAATAAATACATACAACATTATGAATACAAGATTGAAAGATTAAATAATGGGACTAGCCTGACCGAAATAGCGGGAACCAACTGGCCATAACTCGTTGTTGTAACTCGCTAACTGAGAAGTAACGATTAACGAGTGGCGCAGAGGCGATTCTGTACGGTTTTGTATGACGAATTGGATACCAAATAAAAGCAGAATCATGCTACTGCGGTTATTATTTAAACTGTGTCAATGCAGCGATTTTTCGATGAAACTTTCCCAAGAGTTTTGTTTTGATGGTTCGATGTTGAGTAGAGTTATCGACGTGGCCCGCCAAGTCCAACGAACAGTGTTCAGGTGCAGCATCGGCAACAGCGATAAGAACGGAGCCATCCACTCATTATGTGTGCGGGCGGAGTTCTGTGTATCGGGGTTAATCGATCTTAGAGGTGAAAAAGATCGCATTTGTAATCAGAATGTGTGTTTGGCAGCTATCTGCTGAGGAGATTAGACTGACCAGCGCTGGGCAATTTTTGTTTGTTTCTTTTGTCTCCACGCTGCATAGATAATGCGAAATTAGATTCGGACTTTGGGTGGCCTAATCAATGGCATATTAATTTACGAAAATATCTGTACAAATGGTTATAGATAAATCAGCCGCAACACCGTCGCCGGTGCCTTAGGTGATAGCCCCCTGATATGGGGGCGGGCTTAGCCACCACTCAGTGGTCTATATAAACACACCCCAAGGTGCTGGTAGCCAACATTCGTCAGTGAATCGTCGAACAATATGAAAGTAATTACTGTCTGCCTCTTGGTTCTGGTCTCGGCCAGCTGCCTGCTGACCACTCATGTAAGTGTCCATCGATTCCAATCCGATCCGAAGTAAAGTACAACACTGAATCCTTTTTGCAGGCAAATGCTGTTGGCCCGAGCGATAACTTTGACTATGATTTCGAGATTGAACAGCTGCTGTCGGAGCTCGAGGGCGATTTCGACTATATGGGTGTGGCCGAGCAGGGATTCATTCGCTCCTGCCGCTCCATTCTGGTCAAGGCATTGAAGGGCATCCGCGGCACCAACTGCATCCTCAAGGAGACTCTGGCCGTGCTGACTGCTTGCACCACCTACGTCGATGCCATCGATAGCTGCGGCGTGGCCGTGCCCAAGGATGTGGCCAGGGTTGTGAACACCGTCAAGTCCATGATCACCATCTGCAACAACATCATCCACCTGCACTCGAATCTGTGCGCCGCAGACGACACCACCACCAACGGCACCGGCAAAACCACTGGCAAGTGCTTCGCTAAGGTCTTCTTCTCCACCATGTCGTTGGTCAGGAAGTTGAACGTCACCCTCAAGCTGATCGCCAAGCTGCCCGCCGACACCAGCTCCTGCTTCATGGGTGCCACCAATACCGTCAAGGATGCCTGCAACGCCTTCCTGCCCAACATCGATGTCTGCATTGCTTCCATGTAAACATTTTAATAAAAATACACAAACATATTCAGAACATATTGAAGAACTAAAGGACTACTTACTGGATCGTAATAGATATTAATAGGAATTAAAGTAGAGCGTATATTCCCATGAAACTTATCAATTTCCATCCCCCTTTTCGTGCCGGGTTTTGGCTTTTTTTTCCCTTTTGAACGAGCTGCGCCCCCAGAGTCCATCTATAAATTATCTAATGCAAAATGCACTTCAAATTAAGCTCTTTGCGGAATGGAGTGCCAGATGGACAATCGGCCAGATAAGAACTAATTGTAAGTTAAGCACCGAATCACAGCAACACATTTGATGTCTGCCGACCAGACACGAAAGGCAATACGAAAAACAAAGGTGTGCTTCTGTCGTAGATTATAATTCTCGCATTGTATACAATATTTGCTCAAAGAAAGACAGAGATTAATTGTTCACACTGTACTTCGGTCTGTCGGTTGCTCACCTCACGGATCCCTCCTGTCATTGTTATAAGTGTATTATCACGTTTTTCTTTGTACTTTTCTCCTTCTTGTTTGCCTCGTAACCGTAATCGACTCACATCTGCTCTTGACTTTTGCCCATTGCGTGAGAGAGCGAGAGTACTGGGTACTGTCGCTCAGAGAGGATCAAACGCATGTCGCGCGTGTTCCTCTGCAGTGGTAGGTGTGGGTGAAACAGAGAGGCAAATGGTAATTTTGTCGCAGGTAATATTCTGAAGCTGTTTGTAAACGATGTGCATAGAGCTTTGAGCTATGTCCGTCTCTTTTTGCCCTCTGTCTGATCAGAGTACGCAAAGCGAGCAGCCACATATAAACGAAAGCTCCACGTGAAGCTAAAGCACCGTTTCCAACCAGCCTACGCAAAGCCAGCAGCCACACATACACAAAAGCTCCGCTTTCCATGGATGCACCGTTTACAACCAGCTTTGCTGGGAGAGAGTAATTTTTCGTCCACACCTTCGCTTTTAACGGTGATTTGCTTAGGCGAAATGAAAGAAGCAATTGGTGAACCCAGCGATAATGAAAATATAAATACTGCATATATACGTACGTATGTGCACACATATGCACAAGTATAAACCGATCAAAACTATCATTTTGTGGTTAACACAGATTATTTTTTAATTGCTTCATGGAATGGTGTTCACTCGAATACAGACGATTGAGCTGTCTAAGAGGTCAGCTTGGAACAGTTGGTGATGTTCTGGGGGAACTGGGTGTAGTAGCTGGTCAGGGTGTTTACAGCATCGTTGACGCAGGCACCCGCATTGGGAGCAGTCTTTGGCAGCTTCTTGGCCAGAGTGATCACGTTCTGCACCTGATTCTTGAGCGACCACAACTGGTAGAGAGTCTTCGCGAAGCAGCTGTTTGTGACCTTCTGGTCGGCGTCCTCGGCTGAGGCGCAGATGGTCGACTTGTAGCTGATAATGTTGTTGGCGGTTTTGATGATCTTGATGTTGGCATTGATCAGATTGGTCACATCCTTGCTGGCCGTGGTGCCGCAGAGGACAACGTTGCTGTTGAACTGAGTGGCGCTGTCCTTGATGCCCACCACCCACTTGACGGCGCAGTTGAAGCCCTTCACCGAGCGCAGAACCAATTTGAATGTCTTGTAGAGGGTGCCAAAGGCCTCGATGTCGACCAAACCATCTTCGGTCACATCGTACAGCTCCGGCGACATATTCTCATGGGGAATGGGCTGCACGAAGGCATTAACCTGCACAGTTTGGAGTCCACAATTAATAACAAATAATTACTCTTCCCTCTGATCATCTCACTTACGCCGAGCAGGCACAGTGCCAGGAAGAAAAGTGTGAACTTCATGTTGATTTCTATGCTTTGAACCAACTATGCCAACTGCCTGCGCCACTGGTCTTTTTATATGGCTGGCCTACCCATAGTTTCATTAGCCATTGGCAATCATTTTGAATCGATTGATCTTAAGCATATTGGGCATAGAATGCTAATTTATATTTCCACTTGATAGAAATAGACGCGAAATGCGAGTATTTAAACTTCACAACAACAAGGAGCTGCAGATAATGCGTATCAGCTATCCGCATATCCGAGTGTCTACTTGATAACTGGCCTCTCTCTCTCTCTCTCTCTCTCGATCAGGCAGCGATGTCCAACGGTTAACGGAAGTATGAATCCATTATACGGGTACATAGCATAGCACTAGGCTGGGTTGCTGCAAAGAGCCAAAAATGAGTGAAAGTCAGCTTTCCAGGCGTCGGTCTTAACAATGCTGAAGCATACTCTGCGGCGGCTATCCATGTATCAGAGTGGAAACTTAAGACTTTACCCCACCCTACCATTTCGTTAACTGTCAAATCGTTCCATTACCTTACAATTACATTCATCCAACTCTACCATTTCTTTTTCTGTCAAACTTCATTACCTGACTGTATCCCTTGCTTGAGTCAGTACCTCAAACATCTTTCCAAGCGAAAGGTCTAAAAATATTTCGTGATTTTTCCGAGCTATCAACAAAAACAAAACAGTTCTAGCAAGAATAAAAGCGATGCTTTCCTTCATAAACACAATGTCGAAGGCTCGTCCTCCGGGTCTAAAGGTCTGGCAGGGCACGGCTCGTGCGAGCAGCAAATTCTTCAAAAAAGGCCTCAAGCCCAATGGGGAAAAAGAGCCGAAGGATTCGGAGAACCGCAAGAAACCAGGAAATACTGCCTACCCACTATCGACTGGGAATAATACAGGTACTTGTACTCCCTTGTGGCATTAGGGCAATGGGCAGTAAAGCCAATTAATATTCGCATTTTCCTGCAGCCAACTCAGCGGTGCCCAGCTTCTCCGACCAGCGGGCCAAGTGGGCAAAATACTCAACCGAAATGCAGTTGAGGGCCAAGCTGGCAGCCCAAGGCGCTGTCAAAGCAGACAATCCCCAAGCAAACATTGAACAGAAAAAGAAGCCAACTGCCGGACAATCCAACTGGGCGCAGTCGATGCAAGAGGTCAGCGCGGTGTCCGATAATGAGACTAAAGTCTCCTCGGCCGAGGATCAGCGCAAGTCCTGGATGAATCGCATGCACGGCTCCCAGAAGAATCAAGCTCAGCTCCTGAAGGACTTGAGTGCCAAGCAGCAGGCGGGACGTGAGCTGCAAATGAAAAAGAAGCAGCAGTTTACCCAAATGGAGAACAAGCTCAAGGCAGTGGGAACCAACCAAAAAGAAGACCCGGATGCAGCTACCGAGAAGTCGCCCGAGCGTGTGGCCTACCTCGAGGCCGTGCGACAGTTGAACATCTACCAGGCCTTCGAGTCGGTGCCTGGTCGTATGCGTACCAAGATGAGCAAGTTGCAGCTGGATCCCATCATCGAGCACACCCTGGCACTGCTGAGCAAGGTGGGTGTGTCCAAGGAGCAGCTGGAGAGCCTTCCAGTCATTCAGGTGGCTGGATCCAAGGGCAAGGGAATCACTTGTGCCATTGTGCAACACATCTTAATGGCGCATGGCATCAAGACCGGCCTGCTGTGCTCTCCGCATCTGTTCTACATACGCGAAAGGATCCGCATCAGTGGTGAGACTCTGACCGAGCTTCAGTTCACGGAGCTGTTCCGCAAGATCTATCCGAAGCTGGCCGAAATGGATCGCACACCGTCGCAGAGCCAAATCCTGACAGTCATGGGCTTCCATGCGTTCCGCGAGGCGCAGGTGGAGGTGGCCATTGTGGAGGTGGGACCTGGCGGTGCCAGCGATAGCAACAACATCGCCTTGCATGCCCAAACCATCGGCATCAGCGCTCTGGGCTGGGAGCAGGGCTCCAAACTGGGCGAGTCCATGCGTGACATTGCCTGGGCCAAGGGCGAAATCATGAAGCCAGCGGCCACCATCTTCACAAATGTCAGCCAGCCGGAATGCCATGAGGTTCTGGCCCAGAAGGCAAAACAGATGGGCACCAAGATGCATCGCGTTCCGACTTTCAGTGCGCTGACCGATGCCAATCCAGAGCACAAGCGTTATCTCAGCAAGGCCAACAATTCGGTGAAGCTGAATGCCGCACTGGGGGCCCAATTGGCCTACGACTATCTCCGGCGCCACAAGCCCGAATTTGCAGTGGGACTGGAGCCAAAGACCACCAAACTGACCCAGGCAACAATGCGCGGCATCGAGACCTTTGAGGCGGTGGGAAACTTCCAAATCATCAAGCATGGCATGTACAATGTCTATTTGGACAGCGCCGATTCCATCGAGTCGATGATGGTCTGCCGCGAATGGTTCTACAACATCACACGCTCGCGTCGCTCCACAAAAATTCTGCTATACAACAAGAACAGCGATTTTAACGCCAAAGATCTGCTGACAATACTACGCTTCAACGTAAGCTTTGACGAGGCGTTCTTTGTGCCCTGCCCCAACATCTTTGAGGGCGAAATCTTGGCAGAGGAGCAGTGGCGCGTCATGGAGGAGTTGCAGCGCGCCAAGCGCAATGCGCGCTCCTGGCGTGACCTGTGCGAGGAGGCAGGCAAGAAGGATTCCTCGCACATTACCATTTCCGTCAGCGCCTTCTTTGATTTTGTCCAGGAGAAATACGGACAGCAGCCATATGGCATGAAGCGCGAACTTGATGTGCTGGTAACTGGCTCCCGACCCTTGGTGGGTGCCACCATCAATATGCTGGGCCAAATGCAACGCTTCCACTGAAAATATGTTTGCATATTTTAATTCCAATTAATCAATAATAAATAAATATATATTTTGGACATGTTACCCAAACGATACAAGGGATAAACCCTTTTGTTTTGTGTCTGTAATCGCGTCTCCGATGGACACCGCTGGACATGTGGCCGCATTTTTCGTGTTGTCACCGGCCCGCGTGAGTGTTGTCTTATCAGATAAGGTTTGAAGGGTCCAAAAAACCTCAGTGGATTGCCAGTCGATTAGAGGTTGAGTGGCCTTATCGCCAGGCTTTTATGAACATGAACATTTTCATTTTTCATATCTGCAATCGAATGGAACTCTTTTCGTGGAATATGTTTAGGTGATAAAAGAGCGCATAAAATACATACCTGAAACATACGTAGACAGAGTTAAATGTTTTTAGATGGATGAATAATGCCAGTTGGCATAATCTATCCAGGATGAGGAAGTATTTTCCTTTGTGGTACCAGTACTTATATTATCTTTTGGATCATGAGCTAAAAGTCCCTCATTGCAAGTTCAAAATACGTGGAATGTTCCAAAGAGCCATCATTTTTGTGTATAGTAGATATATTTACTTTATTGTTTTACTTGTATTATGCATAGGTTATTACTATATCTGTTTCTGGGTTCATTTCATTTTTTGCTTTGTTTTGTCGCCTCATTGCACTAAGAATTTGTTGGCTTTCTTTTTCAACTGCCATCTGCCATCTGCCACCTGCCTTCTCTCCCTCGTTTCTCGCCGTGTGTATAGGCTCTTGCTCTTTCTATGCCATGGAAGCGCTTGCCTGCTGCCTGCTGCCATCTCGCTCTAACGCACTTAAACGCAAAAGTTAAACAAATATTTAATCATATAGAAGTAGAATTAAACAAATGTTGAACGAAAAAATACATAAACAAAAGCGGCTTACAATTATTTGCAAAAAAAAGAGCTAAATACAAAAGTTAATTTACTCCACCCGTCATTCCCTTCTCTCATTTTACTCCGGTTTGAATTCCGTTATTACTTTTGATTCTCTAACCATTCATCGTTTCCGTTTATGCAAAAATATATATCTTTATATATATATATATATATATATTTATGTGTGTGTGTGTATGTATATGGGCGCATATCGTAATCGTTTATATAAATATATTTTTGTTTTTGTATATATATATTACAAAGTTAATTGTTTTCTCTTCATTTCGTTTGTTAATATTACAATTTGTATTCCATCTTAATCTTGCACGTAAATCTTTGCCTCGTATTTTGTTTGTTTGTTTTAAACTTATAGCAGAAAACGCAATACATAATGTATGTACCTTTATTTATAAAAGAAAGGTTACCGTTGGGGTTGTTGCAGTTTGCCGTTGCCTTTGCTATTGCGATTGCTAAATGGTTGAATAACTTAAACGATTGTTAAACAAATCTAATAAAAAAAACATCAACTCGACACCGCCGCCAGGCACCCAAAAAAGATGCGCGGCCTTCCCTCAAAATGGTTTTGCTTAATTACAATATATATATATATAAATATATATAAATATACACATAATAAAAAAATGATCAAAATGAGCAAAAAATAAAGAAATATTAAAAAAAAGTTAACGTTAAAACAGTTTTGTGGAGGGGAGCTGTAGCTGAAGCTATTGCTAGAGGGGCGGGTACGCGGGAATCAAATTGTTTACAATTTTAGAGCTTTATAGAGTAAATTAGCAAATACGAAAAACGCTTTGTTTAGTCTTCCCCTTCGTTCTAATTCTCAATCTCATGCTTAACCATAATTCCTTCATTTTGTTTTATATATTTTATAATTGAGTTGCTGCTGGCTGTTGGCTGCTTGCTAATTGCTGTTGTTGGTGGCAACAACTGGTGTGCTGTTGTTGTGATTGTTCTGGTCGACACTGTCCATGTTGGGCACATAGTCGAGGGCCATCATGCAGGCAAAGACGGTCATTACCATCTTTGGCTTCACTTCGGTAATGTCCTCGGGCAGGGCGTACACGCGGGCACCGATCTTACGGGCCATGGAGATGGCATACTTGGCATTGGCCAAATTATCCTGCAGGAACACAAATAATAATTAATATTGCCATCTTGTTGGAAGCATTACTTGATGGACTCACCTCCTGCGTGCCGCTGGTGCGCACCAGTTCGTAGTTGATGCTGCCCTCCTTGATTGAATCGATCAGATCGATCACAATCTTACCGTCGGCAATGGCATGATCGTTGAAGTTGCGCAGCTGCGACTGCTTGCCGGCCTCCGCCAGGCGATTGTTCACCCACTGCACAATCTCCTTCTCGATGATGGGATTGCCGGTGTTGGCAAGGCGCGACAAAATGGACAGCGTGTAGGCGCGCATCAGCTGCCAAATGAGCGCTAAAATGTGCACAAAAACAATGAGGTTAATACATCAATATAGTCGGGTGCAATCCAAGGGTAGAGCCACTTACCCAACGTCAGTGTGGCATTGCCATCGTTCAAGTCCTGGCCAGCAATGCCGACCAGCGAGAATTTCAGCTGCTTGCCCAGATCGACGGCATAGTTGCAGTTCTCCAGCTTCTCCATGAACTTGCGCAGCGGCGTGAAGCGCTTGTGGACGCGGCTCCAGTTGACGATGCCCGGCTTAATAACGTCAAACAGCTGGAAGATGACCAGGCCATCGGCCAGGTCCGAGTACAGCCAATTCACATGCGGCGATACGCCCATCGAGTTCATCCAGTTGCGATAAGCTAATCCAATCGAAAGACATTGTAAACTCTCTCTCTCTCGCCCTATTAATGCTTTATTTTACTTACTCTTCTCCTCGCGCGTCTCCTCAATGGATTCGAGTCCCTCGATCTGCTCGGGCTTGTCCAGGCCGGGATGGTTGTTGAACAGATTGGCGACAAAGGCCAAGTTCAGCTTGTAGACACCGTTGACAACGTCCTGGGGCGTGAGGAAGCTGCGACAGTTGAGCTTGCCCGCCTGCTGGAGCATAATCTCGGCACGCTGCTGCAGATCGGCCTCGCGCAGCGCATCCAAATTGACGTCGGCATCGTTGCCGGCAATCTGCTTCAGCAGATGCGAGTAGATTTCGGAGTCGACAATGTCCGACTGGAAGTTGGTGCAGCGGCGCGAGATGCCGGCACGCTCCAGATGGTGGTTGACCCAGCGCAGGAGAATCGCCTCGGGCGACATCTTCATGAGGTCCTCGAGACGCTCGTTGTCGAAGAGGAGGCCGGCAAGGCCGGGACAGCTGTCCAGGGTGATGTGGCTGAAGAGGCCGATGCGGATGATCTGCCAGAGCAGACCCAGCACCAGATGGGGCTTGCCCTTGGCCAGGTCGTGGGCATCGATGTTCACAATGTTGCAGCCGATGGCCTGCGAGGAGACGAGGGCCAGCGTCAGGTTCTCGAACTCGCGATAGACGGTCAGGTTCTTCTTGTTGATGGCGCGCTCGTCGATGGTGTCGGGGCAGGAGTGGTTGATGATCTTGCACAGCAAGATGCCATCCTTGATGCTCAGATACAGCCGCTTGCCCTCGCTGTCGATGGGCAGCAGATGCTGCAGGTCCTTGTCGTGCCCCAGATTCGAGTTGATCCAGTCGGAGAAGGCCAGCTGCTCCTCCAGGCGCACCGAGTGCGTTGTGCCCTCGGACGAGCTGCTCGACATGCCGCCGAGCGTCTCCAGGTTCTCCTTCTTGGACACCACCGTCTTGAACGTGCTGGCCACATCCTTGCTCTTCAGGTCCAAGCACAGCGTCTCGAACTCCTCCAGATTCAGCTTGCCCTGATGCGCCGTCCTCTGTTTGCTCTTGAACTCATCGATCATCTCGCGCACCTGATAGCCAGCCAGCTTGAATCCCACCTGATTGAGGGCATCCTTCAGCTCGTGCAGATCGATGAAGCCATCCTTATTAGCATCCAGCTAGAAAAACAGAATGCAGAAGAGAAAACAATCTATGAGTAATCCAATTGCGATGAGTAATGCGCGGCACTTGATGATTGCTTGGGTCAGTGGATCGGATCGGATCGAACGATCAGCTCCACCTCCACCACTCCTCCTTGACCACTTCTCTGACTCATCAATCAAATCGAAATCGAAATGCTAAGCAGACGCCAGCCGCCCGCCATCCGACGTTCTGCTCGCTACCATTCCCATTTCCATTTCCATTGAGGCGCCTGCTGGTTTATCTTTGGAATTTTGCGCCCATGCAGCACAGGTATGCAAAATTTGTTGTTCTTTTTTTTGTTCTCTATCTCTATCACACACACGCAGACATTGCTGCCTCCCAGCAACCACCACATGCTTTATCTATTAGTCGTCTCCGTGTGCCCTCCGCGCTCTGCCTTATCGAATTTAATTTCCACTTTTATTTCTTTAGATCTCTCCGTCCGTCTTTTTTCTTCCAGCCAGCAGAGGGAAGTATCTTTGCATCTACCAACCGACTCACTGACTGACATATCGTTGAAAATTGTTCACACGAAATTATATAGTGCAGAGGTGTGTGCTGGATAGTGTGTGTGGGAGGGAGGAGAATGCTGTCTGGAGAGTTTAATGCCAGTAATTGAAGTGTCTGTCTGTCTGTGTATCTGCCTTGGATCCAAGAGCGTAATCATGGCCAAGAGGCCAAACAGCATCAGCAGGCGGACACTGCGGATTCCCCAAAAGTGAAAGCCAAAACAAATTTTTGGTTGGTAATTTATCCAATGAATCAATGGGGGAAAACTACTTGAGAAAGAGTCGACTGAGTGCTCAACGGTTTGTTGTTTGTTCCGTTTATCCAAATTGTGTTTCCCCTCTTATGGCGATGACTAAGAAAATTCTTTGTACTCGAGTATGCACAACGAAAGATTTTAAAATGATTTATTTACAAATAAATAGCTGGTTTGGGGTATGGATGCGTGTATCTCAATCACTAAATGGTGTGCATCGAAATAGACCACCTACCCTTCTGCCATTTGCTCATTTTTATTTACTTTTTATTTGCATTTAGTAGATGAAATATTCAAGGCGATGGATGAGTGTAATTTCTCATTTTAATCCATCGATCATCGATTCATTTAAGTACTCTTAAGTACCAAAACGACTCAATAATACATTTGTTTCCTGCTTTAGTAATGCAATTCTTTATCATTTCCAGCATTAAAGTTGTCGCGCGGCTTGCAGCAGCGTCTCTCTGTCGGTAATCATTCAATTTAATGCTTCCAAAGCTTAATTTTATGGCCAAAATGAGAACACATGCCTCTAATCAATGCCCAAAGAAATCGCCAACAAAATGTACCCCTAATCCCCATTTCAGGGGAAAACCAATCATTTGGTCTGGCCAGTGCCAGCGTCAGTGACTATGATGGGGAGTTACCGCAAATGTTTGTCTTTCGTATGGTGTAAAATTGTTTTCGGTCTCATATTAGTGGACTGTGGAATTTATGGGGAGCTTTTGGGTCGGCGGTTCGCCAAATTCTGTAGGATCGTGTGGGGCGGGTTGGTGTGGGTTGGTTCGCTGATTGCTTCGCTTTTGCTGTTTGCTGATAAGATAAATGTTTGTGTGCGCCAAAAACAAAAAGGTGAACATAAAATCGAAAAACACAGCACTCGATTACGTATATGGTAATGATATCAGAGAGGCGGGGAAACCTTAGGGCTAACACACACTTGTCCTTGGCCAACACATATTGATGGCCAAAAACGATGGGGAATGGTATACATAATTCCATGACTGACATCCAACGGAAGTGATATTTGATTTTGATTTGGTGCAGGGTCGTGGGAGTGGGAGTGGGAGTGGTGTGTCAAGTTGAGGCGCGTGCACTTTATCGAAGGTGTTTACTGTAAGGCTGTTCACCGTACATTGGTGTGCGTGTGCGCCACAGGCGTGTGTCTGTGTTATCGATTAAAAAGCCATAAAGTGCGCCGAGCAGCAGCACCGATAGCAGAGCGAGAGAGAGTCAAAGTGAACACACATCTGTGATTACGTGAGTCGCGTAATCGTGAGTAATAAAAATCGTAAAGATACCACAAGAAATCGTTCGAGAATGAAATGATTTTCCACCTACATCGGGCAAGATCTCCTCCAAGTGCAGCCTGTACTCCTCGGTGGTCTGAATATCGGCCATTTCTGCTTCTATGGATTTTCACTCGGAATTATTGTATTTGTTTGGTATGGTTTCTCGGGGTTTTCTTTGCTTAATTTAATGGATCAGCAAAGATAAACAAATAGCGACGGGAACAAAAAATTAACAACAACAAAAAATTAAGTTAATTGATTTGCACACACACGAGCACGAGCACGAACACGAACACGAACACGAAGGAGGGGTCAAAGTTGCGCACACGAGACGATCGCTATGGATGGAGTACCGGCAATAACTACGAACGGAATGGCGCCAGGCACTCGGGTTAACCGTTATTTGTGCTTGCGGCGAGAGCGTGAGAAAGAGATCGTACAAATTGAACGAGTGACTCCACGAGTGACGAGTGGTGGAACGATGCAGAGAGCGAGTGAGCGAGAGCCAAGGATTTGTTAAGCGTTCTTTGTTTTCTTCCTCGTTAAATACCGCTACACCCGGAACAAGCTGTCGCTGAATAAGTACTAACTGGAGCGCTGGTGTGCCACGAACTATTTATGCCTTTCTTTTATCAGAACTTGGTGTAAATCGAAGAGTAACCCAGCGCACGGCTTTATCGGAGCCAGAGAGGCAGAGAGACACACAGAGAAAGAGAGAGCGGGCCAATGGGTATGCCAATACCCATTCAATAGTAGAATGACGCGACGTCTCATGCCTATCCTGAATCAGCCTGCCCATACACGGATTAGTCACTCTACTTAGAGCGATCCCCAACTAAAAGATTGCAACAAAATACAAGTGAAACTTGCGAAAGGTTTTGTGGATTTTCTTGAAATGCATTTCCATACGTTTGATGGTTCACCCAATTAATCTGATACTCAGCAACACACATTTATAGGTATGTATGAGCAAACATTTTTGGTATTTTGTACAGTGGCTGATAAGGCGAGCGACGAGTGAGCACGACACCTTGCCCTGGCCTGGAATCGAGTCCAATTCGTCAGTCAATCTATCTGCGGTACGAGTGCGAGCATATAGTATGTACATATGTACTTATGTGCACATGCATTACGTCAATATCAATGGGAGTGTATATGATTACACCTGAGTTTGAGTTGCGACTGACTGCAAATAGGCTTGCCAGGTTTCATACATAAATCGCACGTATTCAAGTTGTTGTTTTGTTTTTAAGGATTCATTCGCCAAGTGATACCAATACATTTTATGACTCACTTTGTGGAGTTTCAAAAAGTGAAATCATTATGTAAGCTTTTCGTTGAGTCATGGTTTAGTTGGACAGTTTTACCTCACGGCAACCCTTGCCAACCAACGACACAATTCTCCTGCTCAAGTGTTAAAACCATTTTAACGAATTGCTTACGCATCGATAATTTTTGGGCTGAAACAGAGAGAGAGAGAGAGAGAGAGAGTAACAGCGAAAACAGACAGCAGGAAAGAGAGATATGTACATGTGTAGAAAAGAGCCCCCCCTCTGATAGAGAGCCAGCGTCAGGCATTGGTTGGAGGGAGGTAGACATGATATTTAAACGTAATTGGTTTTTTAATAGGCATTGTATCAGCCAAGGGAATTATGTGGCAATTGCCATTTAAGTAATAACTTGTACAACAAATGGCATATCAAATTCCACAAAAGATAATGAAAAGTTGTGCCATGATAAGACAGGCAGAGGCAGTGGCAGCAACAGGAAGGGGAACATAATCGAAAAAGAGTTACAGATACTGAATGATCCACGCTGTTCACTGCTTTACACTGTAATTTACACAAACGATTAGTAGTACTTCTCCACTCCCGTGGGGCACATTTCAGTCATTGTTTACGATCATAATGGACCCCCCACTTACAATTTATCAGTGGCAGCTTTTGGCATGGAAATGAGTCACGCATAATGGGACAGTCTCCAAGGGAAACGTCGATCTTCCATGGAGTCAAACAAATGCATAATGGTATTTCTCATTCTCACGTGACTGGGAATTTAACATTTAATTGAAAAGAAAAATTAATCAGCTGAATTCGTACTACGAGGGTTGCTATTTACATTTCTGGCCTAGGGCACTTTTAACATTATCGGCGGAACCTCCAATTTTCATTCTTATAAACAATTTTGGTACTTTCTGTTCGAGTTGTATTTCGATTGAGGATAAAAGAAAAATGCCTCGATTCCCATAATCCAAAATCATCGCTGTTCGTGTCATTATCTTCTTTTTGAAAATGTATACAACGAATAAAGGAAGTTGGTTTGGTGCTAAATCTCTTTGTGGAACCATTATACAACCGGCAAAATTACAACCATTCATCCATTGATAAGAGGTACCACACCATAATCATTAAGTGGTTTCCGTTTTTATACGCAATCGAGTGGCAGCACACACGTGACCCCTGGAACATCAAAATGTTTGATTGGTTGGCAAAAGAAACAAAGCAAAAACAAAAACTTTCTACGAGTCCACCTTTTGGTGTCACTCGATAGATTATTTTTCTTTTTGGGGGGAACTCTTTACCGTACAGATCTCTGCTTCACATCATTTGATGTTTCTATGCCACAAGAAGAGTCGCCACGGAGAACGAGAGATCTCTGCGTAATGTTAATTATGGCAAAAAACGCGGAAAATGTTGTTAATGAGCGCTACTTTTCGGTGTGTGCTGGAGAGTGAAATACCCTTTTTTAAATGGAAGGTAAGTCATGAAGATAAGAAAGCATTTCATTGATATTAAAGCAAGCAAAGAAAAGGGCAACATAACGGAGAGGGATCTTAAGTATTTGGCCTGTCTAAAACAATCAAAACAAAATTCTAGGATTTTGTTCCATATTATTTATAGTTCTACAATTATTATATGGT